CCCCTCCCAGCCATCAAACAGTGAGTCAGGAGGACAACTGACCAGTTTGACTGCTCAAAACACAGCATCTCAGCTTTATGTTTTTCCAACTGTTTTTCACGCTTATTTTTCCCTGTAAAATCTGCTGCAATCTGCAGCGAGCCAGGGCTGTTTTGGAGACTATCAACTGAGTCAATAATTAATGAGATTGAATCAAGGAATCGATAGTACATAGGTGGGAATGCTCCCATCAATTGGCTTTTATGGCATTTCGAGGTAACCCACTTTGAAATGGCTAAAAAATAACTCATTCTCTGAACTCAACATTCCATATTACTAGGGCGGATATGTGCTGTCTTTCACTAGACTATCTGGTTAATTAAGTTACTGTTATGTTTGTTTCAATAGGGCATGATGCACGTGCATGGGCCATGTATATTGATCAGAAACGTAGTTGGTTCCTCCATAACGGTGAACATTTCGAACGAACTGATGGAGGTATCTGTGTTGGAAGCGTGATCGGTGTTCGACTGGACTGCGAACGCGGTAGTCTCGCCTATTACCTTGACGATGAGCCCCATGGACCAATCGCATTCAACAATCTACCATCTGGTGTTTACTATCCCGCTATCAGTCTCAATCGTGATGTTCAAGTCACACTCCGATCCGGTCTCGAACCACCATCATCAGATAGTGAAGATAGTGATGAGAATACATCGTCATCGCCCCTCCTTAATAGACCAATGTCTGGAAAATCAAATCAATAAGACAATCTCCCTCTACATTAGTTACTATCTCCCTTTTCAAGGTAAGCTACTTAAGAGCATAGCAGTAGATTGCAGAGTTGGGTTACATTTAGTCTGCTTCCTATCAGTTGGCCTAATAAGTTCGTAGAGATGGGAAGTGTATTGGGTTTATTCTTTCGGTGACTAGTTTGTATGAATTCAATTTTCTAATGTCAAACGGTCTTCACAAATCATCAAAGCTGAAGAAGATACGTATAAAGCTATTCACAATATTTGGACTGTTTCTCCTAAGTTGATATCACGAACCCGCCTACATAAACCATACCTTAAGTTCCGTAATAATTGCTCTTAAAATTTCACGCCCTTTAAACATTTATCCGGCAAATTACTAAACTTTACTTAAGAAGTTAGTACAGTTTGGAAGGCGAATCGAAATCAATATGCATTACTCAACGAGTTGATTCAAATCGATGTTCCACTGATGCATTTACGTGTCTGATTTGAAAGCGACAACGAATAATAAATTCAACTTTATTCATTTGTCTGAATGCCATTTGAACTAGCCTGGGGTCGACATTTGGTGGGTGGAATTTGTCTATGGTTACAGGAATTTGCTTAACTTTGCTTATAAATTAGAGCAAAATTAATTTTATATCAATTTTTCGAGGGAGGAGATGGTATTTAAATGCTTGCCTACCTTTTTTGCCTTCAGACATCTCCTCTTCCTCCTCCTCGTTTGAACCGAAAATTGGTGCGACCACCTCCGCAGACATTCCTCTTTGTGAAAATTTCAAATTCTGGACACAACTACGTCTCCATTCAACGAATAGACATTAAAATTTCATTTAACAAAGGATATTGACCGATGTCTGTATTACACGGATAGTTCTCAATACTGTTGCATTTAACACTAAAAAAATCCCCTTATGATCATGTTTCATGTGGGTCCGATCTTGATCTCTTCTCGACATGTTGATAGACATTTCTGCGCTTCTTTTTTCTTGTAAATAGGCCCGGGTTTTGCAAGATAATTTGTTAGTATAATGTAATATCTAATTAAATTGTGCGATTAAATAAACGACATACATGTTTATCAACTTTCTCTGTGACTTGATTATTTCCAAATGGAAGCATTATGGGTGGGGGGTGTGGGGGGGAGGTTTATTGAGAAAATGAGGTGTTTGTGAAGTTGCCTTCACAGAGAGTGCATGAGAACTTCAATGATCCTCTGTCAGTTTGCTTGTCCGTCAAGTCAAAATTCACCAAATTTATTGCCTGTAGGTAACTTTCAGTGCTATTGGGAATTTTGATTTTAAATGTATTTCATTCAAATCGTTAAATAAGAGTGAAAAGACTGTATTTGAGAGTATATAAAGAAGATAATATAACGGAGATGTATCATGTACGATACGCCGCATTTTGAATTGAAAATGCATCTGTTGGAACCTACTCAAGTGCCCTCAATTGCGCGTGCAACTTCTTTCCAAATAAATGCAGAGCAAATTTTAACTTAATTTATTACTCGCAAAGCGTTTGTGATTTATACAAGGAGGAAAATCATGAATAATGACTCGACGTGTCATCCATTCTCTTTGCCATGGAAGGAAACAATATGGCAAGAAGCATTCATAGTTATTTCAAGGTGGTATATCGTGGTAGGTAGATGAATCAGTGGGATGAAGAGTAACAATGAATAAACGAATTTCGCACCCCCTCCCCTACCCCACAAAGGCGTAAGATGTGCTATATAGATAAGGCGGCCTAGATTGAGCAAATTATCAGCATTGAAATAGATGACAGGGATTTAGACTAACTCGTATACGCACCGTTGGGCTATGCGACAGTCGTGATTGAGGAGTAGACAATCAAGAATAAATGGAAATTTACTTTACAAAAGTGCTATTTAGTGAGAAGGAGACAAGAATTGCATCAAATCTGTCTGTCTATTTTTTAGTTATTTTATTTTTGAGCTTTGAATGAGGAATAGTTAAAAAAGGCGTTCAATGGCTCATCCAAATAATATTAATGACGTGTTTGTGTGTGTGTGTGTGCATGTGTGCGTGTCATTTTAGAGATCATAATTTATATATGTATTGGTTAAATCCAGAGAAGTTGAATAGAATGTGAAGTGTTGCAGTCACTTACCATTCTTATAGGGTCAGGGTATGCATGGAAGTAGGATACTGCTCAATTTTTTCGACTTCAAGTAACCATTTCGGAATTTGTAAATGAGAGCATTGAGCACGAGTCCTTGCTATTTTGATCACAAAATTTAACTGCGCAAACACACTGATGTAGTGTGTTGCACCCAACTGCTTGACTTCTTCAGGAAATCAAACACCCCTCCAGAGCAAATGCGCTCACAGGCCATTGAGACAATCAATGTCAACTATTCTGCAGATCAATGGCTCCGAGTCTTCATTGATGGGTCATACATAGAAAACCAAGCAAACGTTGGTGCAGGTGTCTATTCTGAACTCTTCTCTTTCTACGCAGCAGCGGGACACAAT